GGGAATGGCTGAGAGTGTATTCCGCCGGCTTGCATTGAAAACGCGCGGAATGTGCTGAGCGCAATTAGCGGGAGGATGCGATGAGGAGAAAAAACGCCGGTTCGTTGGATTCCGAGGCGATGCAAATCGAGCGGTAATTTGCCTCGCGAGAGGATCAATAAGCGAGGAGCTAGAGGAGGGGGGGGGGCGGGCAGGGGAGGGTAACTCTGTGGCACATAATCTCAAATTGGACATCGCGCGCGCCGAGAGTGAGACGCAAAGTTCAGAATAGCGCGCGGCAAAAGCTATAAAGGCTCTCGGAAGGATCTGTCAGCTCAGTCGCGCGATAATGGAGCGGTGAAATTTCCTTTACATCGCGTAGCTACCCCATTCGAGTAATTCCTGCGAGTCGACTGTCAACGACGGACGCGGAGCGGATAATGACATTCCGAGATGAAGGCCGGGAGGAGGAGAGAGAGTGAGAGAGAGAGAGAGAGAGACGCGTATCATCGACGTGACATTTCGCGCTGAGGACGCTCCGCGGATTTTCAATCTTAGTTTGCGACACATCGCGATATTGAGTCTCTAGTTTCGCACAACGGAGGACCGGTTTGTTAATACCTTGTGTCGCGCAACACATCCGATGTCGAATATTACAAATAGCAGGAATACCCGGCAACAATTCCCGACGATCTCGGACTGGTCCCGGACGATTTAATCCTGACGCGCTGCGGAGTTGTACGTGACTCCGGCTATCCCGTGTTATCCCTTAACGGCATGTGCGGCTCCTCCGAGGATCGCTCGGAGGATCGCTCAAATCTGTGCAATCTGCGCTCGGTGTTCCGCTCGAGCGTTGGCCGAAAGTTCGAGAGCGTACGAAGTGGCGCGTTCGTTCTCGCGTCTGTTCGCCTTTAATTACGCTTAGCGAAGTTTAACGGAGCGGAGGCAGCGAGCCGATGAAAATAAATGAAAGATTATTGCATGACAAACGCGATGTCGGACGGCTCGGCCCGGCGCGGCGCGCGGCGGTCGGATGTTATTTAAATGCACGCTTGAAAAAGTGCGCTTTTCCTGCCGCCGACGAGGATAATAAAAATGGTTGCGTGCGCGACGTGGAAACGCGCCAGAGTTTGTTCGATTGAACGGCGACCCTCTGATGCGTTTAGCCCTCCCTCCGGAACGGCAAAAGTGTCGTTCAATTAAGCGGTGAAACATTGGGATACTCGGGGCGGAAGTTACACGGGCCGATTGTTTCGACACAATCTCCAATCAAATCGTGATATCCATATCGCGCGACGAAGAAATTAATTCGAGAGAACGGAATTGTCATCTCGCGTGCGCGACAAAAAGTCCGGATCGTGTTTTCGCATTTATGTGGCCAGCAGCCGCCGCGCGCCCTTCATTAATCGCATCCACCATCTTGCGTAACATTCTGCACTAGGTCAGTCGAAAAGTTCGGTCTGATCTTCGATGAGCGACGTCACATCGATACTACGATAATCACACACGTGTGATAGGCGACGACAGCGTCGATTGGAATCTTAGCGAGAGAGAAGTGATCGGCGAATCGATCGTGGGAGAATTGGTCAGTCGTCGCGTATGCAATTACGAAATCATCGAATCGATCGGTGAAATTAATTAACAATCGCTCGATTCGCCCGACGTTAGTTTGGACATTACCCGAGTGGAACAATTAATAGGGCTCTAATTATTTTTCCCTAATCGGGCCCTAGTAGGGATAGAAAGGCAAAGGCCCTACAAGATGTGTGACGAACGGTTTAGTGGGTCCTTTTAAGGTAATATCAACAGGGCCTTATAAGGCAATCTTAATAGGGCCTTATCAGGAAATATTAACAAGAGTTTTATGAAGCAATTAATAAATATTAAGAGTCTCATAGGGTAATGTTAAGATATGGAGTTAAAATCCATTCTAAGTTTGAGTGAGACATTCATTCTTGCAGTTGCGAGTCGAAATATTTTTATTGCTGCTTAAAAAAATATTTGTCTTTTTCATTCCAAGAAATTTAGACTGTAATTTCTTTATTTCTTTATAATCTCGTTAGTATACAACAAGAATTTTTTATTTTAAAAATATAGCATTCTTTACATATAAAAATCCTGCTACTGTTTTCATTAAATTTTGCTGCATTTCAAGACGAAGGCAATACTAGAAAAATCCTTGGAAGAGACTAATGAATATGGCAACTAATAAAACTAGTAAAATTTGTTTTTAATTGCGGTATAATTAAAAAATCTTTAAAAGAACTAGATAGAGCGTACCTACCTAAAACAATACTAAAATATAACAATTTTATTACACGCTTCAGATCTTATTAATTTTCTGTAACAAAACATGCTTTTGCGTATCTAAAGCATTCTTAAAAGATCCTTCTAAGACCCTCATCAGTTTCCCTTATCAAAGCCTTATTTCGTAAAATCGAACGTATCCCTAAAAGATTCATCTCGAGGCCTGATTAGTAATAACGAGGCATCCCTTTTTAGGGCATCCTACTTTCAGCCTTATCGGGACCTTATGCTTCATGAGGATGGTCCTAATAATTTTCTGCTCGGGTATTTTCATCAGTCAATAGAAATTTCCATCGATTATCCCCGACATTGAACACGGCCGACGCGGCGCTGATGACGCTTTGTCGCGAAAACTTCGCCGACGAATCGCAAACAGCGGCGATGATTGTTCGATTAATGATCCATTGAATGCATCGGGTAAATTCGCCTCCGAAACGCGGGGCCGAGATCTTTAGCGAGCCGCGTGCGAATGCAGTCGGCTGTTTCCATCACGCGCGGAGAAGACAATGCAATTTTCCGGTCCAGCTCGCTACTGTTTATAATCCACAATGGAACAGAATGTGCAGTGGCGTCGCGATTTTCGTACCCGGTAGAAGCGATGACCGCCACGTTCGGCCGAGACACTTGGCAAAAATCGAATTTGCACTTGGTCGTCAACGGGGGGACGGGGGGGGGGGAGATTACTCACGGGGCGTCTCATTTTCGTAAAGCGATAACTCCATCGACCCGCGTCAGCTCGCATTATATCGCCAGCTACGAGAATGCCCGCGGCTCGACGATCCTTCAGTCGGACGCTCCGCGTAGCGTAGCGAATGCATTTTTAAACTCGACCGAATTTACCGCCGTATGTTTCCGCACGAGTGTGATATTCGCGCTCGTGCACGCCGCGGGGCGCGATCCAGCGTTCCGGAAGCTCCGAGAGGCCGACAACGTCGCGGTCGCTTCCGGCCAATCGCATCAATTGGAAATTTAGAATTGCATTGATTTAAAACCGCATTAATCTCGCAAAGCTCAAGCGACTGGACGCACATCGCGAGTCACGTCTTGATTTATCACCGCATCCTTGGCGAGTCGGACTCGAGTGAGCGGTCGAGAAACAATCGGTGGAGGTGAGTGCGCGGCGGTCGAGTGGCGCCCTAATTAAACAAAGAACAGCGCTAGGGAAAAGCGACAATTCCCCCCGCGGCTGTCCCGCGGCGAGAGGCCGTCATGCTCGTTTCGCCGAGGCTCGACGACCCGCGCCGCAGGATCCGCGCGAGGATCGGCCGATGGCTTCGTCATTCGGCATACACGAGTCGCGCGTGCCGATAATTCTCCGGCTTTAACCCTTTAACGTCTACTGGTAACTATATATATATAGTTACCAGAAACGCATTTAAGAATCCATAACTTGGTCAAAAAAGGAGATATTCTTCGTTTTCTTCGAAGCTGCACTGTAAAGGTGAAGAATTCTTCTTCTAAAAAATGCTATATAGATTGTATGTAGATTCGGTTTAGTCCTGTTTTTAGCTCAGTTTTAACGATAACATGTTTCGTCAAATTCCAAGTAGGCATAGCTAAGCATTGTTATTGACATCTAGAAGTGCGCTATAAATGAATAGATTGGTATCTGTTATAATTTTATACATTTGGAAGCTTTCTCAGACGCAAAATGTGAAATTAAAAGAATACAGAAATTCCAAATGGCGAATCCGATATGGCGGACACGAAAATCAAGAAATCAAGCTATTTTCGTGAAACCTGATGACCTACAGTTTTTGCGGCGAGAAATAAAGGGACGATTGACTGTCTGAACGGTGATCTACAAGATATTCTTCTGAAATAGTAAGCTTGACGCTCTGAATGATAAACTTCACTCGCAAATATAGTAAAGTCAAGCTGACTATCAGAGTTATGTCGTATAGATTACCTTTCATTTTTCTCCGTATAGGTTCCTCATCTCGTATATGCTTTCAGGATCCAAGTCATATTTACCAATAAGCAATAAACAAAAATACAAGAAGACGCTTTGGAAAAAATCAAGAATCATTTGATACGTCAGAAAATTCCGTAGTTTTCGTAGATATAAAATTCTGATATTTTTTTTTGGTCATCGCTACTTATAATGTCAGTTCAAAAAAACTCAAATTTTATTCTATCTTAAAGCACTTATAAAAAAAGTCGGGCGTTAAAGGGTTAAGCGAGATTTCCCTAGGAAAATCGAGATTTCTCAGAGGAAACTCTATTTCACGTAGGAAAATTTCCCCGTACTTTGACTGGATCGCCAGCTCTTTATTCATCACCGAGAGATTATTCCACAACGCGCGTGGACGCACGTGGCTGAACCTTGTCGCGCTTGGAGCGTCTAAAGGAGCGATTTCCACTTGGCACGTGGCAACTTTTGACATTTGTCACTTCAGCCGGCGGAATCCGCCTAACGACGTCACACACGTCGCGACGTCGCGTGAGACGAAACATTTCTAATAATTTGGTTAGCGTACATCTCCTCTGCGTCCGCTCCTCGATCAGCCCTCGATCGCGCGCATCTATACGTCTCAGGAAGATAAATTAGATAATCCCCGTGCGGCCGCACGGGGGATGATTACAAAGCAAAGGAGGCGGCCGCATCGTTTTATCTCCCTCGTCATCCCGACGAGTCCTGCTAACAGCGACGCGTTCGTGCGCGCGAGGATTCAACTCGCTAAGACTACTGATCTCGTAAAAGGATCTCCTACCTGTGCGTCGTGAGACCGCGCGCGGGCGTCGCTCCGGCTGTCGAAGTCCCGGAGTCCCTTGAAGGGTATCCTGGCGGCTCGGCGACGGAGGGGCCTCTTAAGCACCTCCACGGATCGCGATCACACTCGCGGTCGGCGCGTTACCGGAGCGAAACGAAAGAAAAAAAAAAGAAGAGACGCGCGCGCTCCCCAGCTCTCTCTCTTTCTCTCTTGTCTTTCGCTGCCTTTCTCTCTCTCTCTCTCTTGACGCGCGAACCCGCGCGGCGTCGCAGGCGCGAGTGGCCGGTCGGGCCAGGAGCGAGGAGAAAGGAGTGAGAAAGAAGAGGAGTCGTCGCGCGCGCCAGAGACTGCGGATGCGGGTATCGTGGCCGAGGAACTTGGAGCAGCTCTCTCGTCGCGAGGGAGTCGCGGCACGATACTGACGAGTCGCCCGTGGGGCGCGCGGACCTCATGCCGCCAGGATCTCCATCCCCACCGGCGCGGCGCGCCGCGCCGTCGACATTCAGGGCCGGTTGATCAACGGGCACGGAGAGTCGTCGCGCGATCCTGAGCCCCGCGCCGAGGGTTGCCGCGCCTTCCCGCCAGCCGGCCCTCGAGTTGCAGGAGTCAAACTCGCGGACTCGCGAGTTTGACTCCTGCAGCTCAGCCATTATCGCCCCAGCGCTACCCTCGTCGAGGACCAACGCGCGGATTTAAGCGGTGCGCCGGCTATAGTTTATCGAATATCGAAGCTCGCGTGTTGCGTGTGCGAGGAGGGCGGGGAGGGGGAGAGGTGGTGCTTCGTTTGTCCCGACATTGCCGCTCGGCGAGAATTTTCTTTGTTTTTTTTTTATTTTTTTGGCGATAACACCCGGGAAGATCGGAAAGAGCCCGCGCATTGGCCGTCGTTGAGCTTAAAAAGCTCGAGCCGTAAATATGTCGAAGGTTACAAGGAGTATTTTTATACCGGGCTTTGGTGCACTTGCAGAGAACTCGACAAACAGGGTACGATGCGGATACAAAAATGTGGAGCACGGTAACATCTGCGGCGAAATTTGCGATTCGCGGAGGCTCTCGAATCTGAACCTAGCGGGATTGTCTGTCTCGCCGGTCGAGTGTTCGACGAGATTACGAATTTCCGAAACCGAGATATATTTTGCTTCCCGTTCCCGAGTGTTCTCTTTGGTAGCTCTTAGCTCACGCTAATTGCTGCGAGCGTGGCGAGTGAGTGAGCCAAGATCGAGAGAATTAGAAGTTGCGTAACGGCGGCGAAAAAACTAGGCAATCTTTCGAGATTCCGTTAGAGAAAGCTGCGTGGCGCCGCGTAAAAAAAGGCGGGGATTACTCGAGATTACTCAAACTACCTTTGAGCAGCCATTAGCGTGGGACAATCGTGTTAAACGTCAAGTTGACGGTATTAATTCCTGTTTGTTGCTATCTTCAGTCATGTTGCTATCTTAAGCGGATAGAGAGAGGCAACGTGTTGAGAGAAAATTTAACGAAGGAAGGAGGGATGATTAAGCTGCTACATTCGTTTCTCCATCGAGCGTCTGTCGTCGCTTGATTTTTCAGGTCGCAGGTTGCGATAAATTTTTACTCTATTATTTTCTTGTATCATTATATATTACAGATTGTCAGTAATTTTTCAACACGATTACGCGTAAATAAAAATCGCAATAAAATCACAGAAACTGCACGGAGAAAAGCAGTTTTTAATCATTCGAGGCAGATTCTCGCGCGGTTCTCGAGAACCAGAGAAGTTTCAACCCCTTCGACGCAAACGCACTCGCTCGTGTCCTCATCAATTCGACCTTTTTTCCGTTCGCGCTGTACAACATGGCGCGTACGGTGCACAAATATTATGTGTATTATTGTTTTATTTCCAAGTTAACTTCGCAGAGCCGTGTTTCCCGGACAGTGATAAATAACAATGACGCCTCCCGCCGCTCTTTCAGCGGCTGCTCGCGGCCGTCCGCAACACCGACGCTCCGCGCGGTTTAAATCAGTTATCGACGCATCCTCATTCCGGATAAACATTAATTCGCCCGTAGTACCGCTAAATCCACACGCGATCACCCTCGCGCCCGCGCCCGGCATAGCGTAGGATTCTACCGACCCCCTTCCCCCTCTCGTATCGTTCGTTCGAAGCTCGCGCGCTCATCTCGGCTTTCGCAAAGCCAACGTCCGACTGCTGAAATTTTGCGCGCGCAATGAAGGCAACGCCAAATATTTCAACGCCAGGCAAATATTTATTTTCGCCGATAAAGCAGCAACTCTTGCGCCGCCCGCTATATACCTGTGTGCGCGCGCGAACGCGAGCGTACACTATAATGCCACCCCTCCCCCCTCTGACTGTATCCAGCCGTGATGCTCCGTTCGGGACGGACGTTCTATCGCTATGAACTTTCGGTGTCACGACTCTCTGATTCTTATCTAGGATTCTCCAGCAGGATCCTGCCGTTCATTACGTATCGTCATTATTACGCGCGCGCCGCTCGTCGCTGCGCCCGTCGCTGCGTTTCAGCCTTACAACTTGCGTCAACTTTCAATCACCGTAGGCGATGCACGGCCAATCGCCGTGTGATTGGCGGCGTTAATAAGAACGTCGATCACACGAGCGGCTCGCTGCAAATTCAGGCACTTCATTCATACGAGCGTAAACGGGATTGTTGTAAAATTATACGCGTGAGAGAATCAGGAAGGATTGTCAATCTCTCCGCGATCCTCGTCGCTTTTCTTCTTCCTCTTTCCGTGATTGAAGCTCAGTCTTTACAGATTGGTCTTTCTCTCTCTCTCTCTCTCTCTCTCATCTCAAAAAAAGTAATTTCGCAATAACCATTTAAATTTTAGAGGATTTTATTTTTATATATGGCTTCAAGAGGATTCCTCTAAGATTAAGAGGAAAATATTATAAACATATTCTTAAAGTTAGAGGGATATGTTATATGTATAATGCACGGAGAAAAATATCAGAAGTATCTGATTGTTAATTTTGTTGTCCGATCAAATATCCGATTAAATACACCGGATATTTGATCGGATAACGAAATTAACAATCGGGTATTTCAGATATTTTTCTCAGTGTGCAAATCTTATTGACTTTAATATAAATTTCCTCTTGTATACAGATTATTTAATCTTTTTTTAAGAGGATTATTATTTATTCTTACTGTATTTTCTTTTTGCTGGTTATACTGGTTAATTTGAAAAAATTATTCTAATGTATATAGCGAAAAGGAAAAATACATAAATGTATTTCTGGCTTCAGTTCTACGATAAGTGGGCACGAATGAAATAAGATCATCATAACAAATAAATTTCCAATTAGTTTTGTTACGGACTTCACAGCTACAAAGATGTTCATCATAACCAATTGTATGAAAACATAATTAAAAGAAAGAATATATTATTCAATTTCTTGCAGTAGATTATAAACTGTATATGACCAAATATGGATAAATTATCTTCGTTATACATATGTTACAACATACATGCTTTTTTTAAAAAGCGTTCCAAATATTCTGCCCAGTATGAGTATATGCACTGAGAGAAAAGTATATGATATTTGGAATTAAATAATGATATAGTAACTAAATTATAGTCCGAAATATCATATTTATAGTAAGTATTACCATAATATCGGTAATAATTACGATATAGGCATAGTATAAACCAACCATATAATATTTTTACTAAGAATTAGATAGTAAGTTAAACTAAAATTATTGTATGGATACAAAATATAAAATAGTAAGTAAAGTAACTCTTTCACATCAGTCAATATTACCCGAATATTTGCTAAATGATGACAGATGTAACTATATGAATATTAAATCTCACTATATTTGAATGAGAAATTACCCATATATGTGATAAAAGTAACTAAACAATTATTTAAGACAATCATCGACTATATATTTGTGTTTATTCTACTATATTTTGCAGGTTCCACGAACTATAAAAATATCGTTGACGTCAAAATAAACTATAAAATATAATGAAATTATAATGAATTCAACTATATTTTTCTATCAGTGTGGTTATTTTTTTGTTCATATCTGAAGGTAGACATGACTGAACAAAAAGAGTCGAGACATTCAAATCAACATATTCCTCTTCATATAAGAGGAAAATTAATTGATATAAAAGGAAATCCTTATTTCGATAAAAAGAACACAGAATAATATCTAATAAATTTTAGATGAACGATTCACTTTATTCTCTTTATTGAAAAAGAAATCCCTTCTCTGTAAAAAGCTTCGCTTAGAATATAAGACTATGGGAAAAATCACTTTATAAATAGAATACTTCTTTTTGGGTGTTCTCGCCCTCTCTCTCTCTCTCTCTCTCTCTCTCTCTCTCTCTCTCTCTCTCTCTCTCTCTCTCTCTCGCTTTCTCCTTTCCTCCGTTCTCAGTCACACAGGCCCGTTTAACTTTATTAATTCGTTGCTCGGCTTTGTGCTCTTATTATGTCATCGGCCAACATCGCGATGCCTTGCGAAACGAGCGAAGCTAAGTTCTCTCTCTCTCTCTCTCTCTCTCTCTCTCTCTCTCTCTCTCTCTCTCTCTCTCTCGTCGATACGAACAGCCGTAAAACTTTATCGCCTCCGAATTCGTCCGGCACGACGTTCCTACAGATTGATGCAAATATTGCGAAACGATTTATACACCGTTCGAGGCGTCGCGCTTTCTCCTCGCTAAGCCACCAGGGACCAATATAGAAAAGATACTCGCGCGTGCTTCAATGTCAAGGCGTAAGCAGTTTCGGCCGCGGGATATCGCCGTATAAATCACACAATATTGCAGCCGATAATCGTATTTTATTCTCATCTCGGTCTCGGCGATCCGAGAGACTTTCGCGACTCGTGTGCTGTTCGCTCGCGAGTACACGATTGCAGTCAGTATAAAGTCGCGAAGGTAATCACTTGACGCGTTGACTATCACAATGGCGGGACCGACGTGCTATAATGTTACCGTGTCTCGTTAATTTACGTACAAAACGTTAGCAAGTGCGCATAAAAAGCTTTAACGTACAGCCGCGCCTTCGGTGACTCGAGTCGTACATTGCGACGATGAGTGGAAATCGGCGCGTCCGTTCGTCGCGACCACCCTTGCGCTGCCATTATCATCCGCTGTTTACGAGCGCAGACTCGTCGCGACACCGTCGCGGAAGCCGCGACTTCCGTCGTCACACAAGTAAGGACGCAACGATAAATCGATAATATCGAAGTATCGGTACATCGAGAGACAAATATCGAATATTTATCGATGTTTTTTTTTATCCCCGATAAAATCGATATGTCGATATGAATTTTATTGATATTTCGTATTTTTCAGTTACAGAGTTCCGGGGGCCTATTACGGTTCTACGACCGAGATGAAAATTACAAAAGTGAATTCACTAGAATATATATTATGTAATTGGTCGATGTCTATAGTAAATTCGCTCACTTTTG